CCCCCCCTTCCCCCCTCTTTTGTAATGATTCATATATTGTATGTTAGGTCACTATAGACTTATCCTTATATTGCTGTAGTATAGTCCCAGTTTTACACTAGCAAGATATCAAACTTTACACATAAGCTTATCAACTTTTTAAGACCACTAGCTTTCGTAGGTTTTCCTTATCATTTCATGCTTTTACCTACAATAGTCTATTGTTGTTTGGTCCACAGAGTCGATGCCCATATACATTACATTTTAGTATCTTAATACTTCTTGAATAACTCCTTTAAATCCCTTCTACAAAGAGTCTTTTTGACATCTATTTTTTAATGTGTTTTTTCCCAGCCAAACCTTCACTTGTCTCTTTAGGCACTTGTAATTCATGTACTCCAATAGAGTTCATTGCAATTCATGAGGGACTGTAACCCAGCGAGAAGTGTCTTTGTTTGCTTTTTCTGGTGATTCTTTTTCTCCCCACTTAGTAGTAGGTGCCAAGATGAGAAGGCATATGAGCAGCTGGCAGCCTGGTGTTGGGGTAGATACCTCCAGTTGGTGAATTCCAGTACGGATTAGGGGCAGCAAAAAAGCTGGACGATGTTACAGGCAAAGCAGGGGGGTGAGGGGCTACAAAGTTCATCTTCTGAGGGTGCGCATGATAGGAGCTCATGTAGGGGAGGTCTGATGGGTATTTGTACATGGACGATTCTGGGGGGTGAGGCTGGAGAGCCTGAGCGATTCCGTGGAAATCAAATTTGTAGGCGTAGCGCTTACCATGAACCTTAGTCATAATATTTTTATCGTAGTAGTAGCGAAGCGCACGGCTGAGTTTGTCATAGTTCATGTTAGGCTTGCTTTTCCGCTCCCCCCAGCGTCGAGCCACTTCGTCGGGGTCGGTCATCTTAAACTCCCCATTGGTGCCCTCCCAGGTGATGCAGTTGGAGTTGGAGCTGTCTGAGAGGAGTTCCAGCAGGAACTGCCATAGCTGTATCTGCCCACTCCCTGCGGGGGGAAATGAAATAGAAATGTCAGGACTAGTGACTAATAATGTTAAGACATCAATTCTTCCAGCCTCTCACATAGGACCCTATTAGGAAATGTTGCTCCTACTTCTTACTCTTAACTAGTCCCCTTTCTCCCAGCCTTGTCTCATGAAATCCTGAAGAGCAGAGATAATGGTAATGTGTCATGTTTTCCCTCATCTGAGTGGCAGAATGCCATTACATGGAGATTTAATAGTTACCTAATGTCATTCAGTGTAGACAATTGATGGGGAAATAATACAGCACTCATTTAGGAAACTAATCTCTAAAGTTCAGGACAAACAGCTTTCACTTGCGTAACATTTTGCTTGTTCTCACAGCATTATGTTGCAACTAAATGTTCTCTGCTATGGAATAAGCCTACACAAAATGGAGAAGTTTAGAGAAAGCTGGGCTCGTGCCAAACCATATCATCCATTTGCAGCATTTGGGGAAATGCAGAACGGAAACTTATTAGCTTGCTGTTGCACTGCATACAACCATAGGGCAAAACATTTGCAAGAACAGTGAAAAGGTCCATAAAATACACTCTTGTCATCATTCTGTGTCAAACAAGTTTAAATGATTATTGAAGTAAAGACTTAAAAAGTTGTTGTTTTTTTCGCACTCCTCTGCCAATTTAATCTCAAAAATAAAATAATTAGTCTGCTGTCAACTTTGCAGAAGTCTGTTACCCAGAGTTATAGGAACAAAATTTGACCATTTTAAGCAATTGAAAGTAGATTTCAAAGGGCCTTGCCACTGATATTCATGTTAAAAAGCTTAGCATTTCTTAATAAAGCAGCGCTGAAATGATGCAAAATACAGCTGAAGCAGCTTGCAAGGCAATCTGTTTCACAAGCACAATGTCAGCAGAATTTGCTAACCAGCTTGTATGTGCTAACTTCTAAGTACATCTCTGACCAGGAATCGGTTGGGTTTCTTTTTTTTTCCAAACCAGATATGTGGGTATAATAAACAAGCTTTTCTTTAGAAAGCTTAAAGTAGCGAATTATAATATCAAGCTAGAGTAGCATCTGAAATCCATTAGCAGTTTATACTTCAGTGCAACTGAAACCCATATTCGTTTAAATTATATTTATCCAAACTATCCTTAATGAATTTCTTCTGTTCCATTAACATGCATTACGTAAACAAACAAACAAAAGAATCCATGGTATGAGCAAGGCATGCAAGTTTTAATACATGAAACATAACAAGAGGATTAGCCTTTGAAAATCAATAAACAGTTCAGCACTGGACAAAACACAATTTTTTGAATAAGCAATCCAACATATGTTCTAACATAAACACTTGCCTTCCAAATGTTATATAGTCCTATGAAAATAAATGGTTGCTGTCAATTTCCTTTTAATGAGAGAGTAATTCCATCAATTTATAAACACACAAAAACATGTTAAAGCCCAGGAATGATGCTGTGCAGGAATTCCGTATCCAAATGTTAAAAATGTTTCCCAATCCAGAACAAGTTAGTGTCTTCCACAGTATTGAAGGATACCAAATAGACACTTGACAAAATTCTAAAAGCCAGGGTTTACTAACAAATTAAAGGGAGGTAGGCCCCCGCTTCCAGTTAAGATCAGTGTCACCTGGAAACCCGCTGCCTTAGGCCATTTGGAAAATCCTGTTCTTAATATTTAATTGCTTTCCTATGCCATGCAAAACTGTTTAGAAAGTAAGCTGATCTAGAACTGTGACTGATGTCACTTGGAATAAAGTGAAAGGAAATGGATCTGTATTTTGGCCATTTCACGCCTTAAAAAGCCACACAACTGTTGTAAGAAGAAATATTGTTACTGGGGGTTGAGGAAACCTGCAATGTGGAATAAAGAACACTGTGCTGTGCCCTGTGGCTGTTAAAGCAAGGGAAATAGGAAGTGGCAGGTACAATGTCAATCCTTTGTGGCAGATTATGATGTTGGTTATGGTGCTGTACAGCCACAGTGTGTCCTGTGGACTCAGAGCAGCAGCAGTAAAATCTGTGCAGTCAATCACAGAATCAGTGTTATTAATTCACCAAGAAGGTTCCATGTCTTTAGCTAAAATATGCTACAAACCCCAGTCCACAATGCACCCCACTGCCATCTTCTTAAAGTGGAAGAACATTTTTGAGGTGTCTAACCCAATTATTCTTTGCAAATAGATTATGCTTTCCTGTTTTTCCCCCTATTTTTTCTACTTGTCAAGGTCAGCACGGCACTGTATTGTGGATTAACAGAACCTGGGACACACACGATGCAGATCGGTAAGAGACTCATGCCCTAGATGAGATATGTTGCAGCACTTAACAAAATCCCAATGTTTAGGCAACTGAAGCGAACTCCTATTGATATGAGGAGCTCAAATACTTCCAGTGAGGTATTTGACTGACTGAATGTAACCACCTACTCCAGGATGATTTGAATAGCTCTCCACGGAGAGCTATATTAACTATGTCTCCAATTAATATCATGGGAAATAAGACATGTAGCTCATATGTAGAGCTACACCTACACTAAGATACATGAGTTTATGTGTCTTAATGTGTGACCTCAGTCCCACCCCTGTGTAATTTAGAAACCTAATCCTGCAACACACTGTGTATCATCAACTCCCACTGAGTTGTACAGAAGAGTGATAAAATCAGTCACATCCCCTTCCAGGTCTGGCCTTAAAGCTGAAGTGGGGACACTACCACTGAAGAGAAATTCCCCTAAATCAGCAAAATCCCTTCTCACCTGGATTTGCAAGTCGGCTGCTGGTCGGTCCAAGAATCTGATAAGGATCTACAAAATTGTGAAAAAAAAGATTTTAAGTCATGTAACAGTGATGTCAAATATTTTAGGTGTACACTGCCTGATGGGACAGCACGCCCAACACTGGGGAAAGCCGTTCTTTTCTCTGCATTGCAGTATTTCCATGTTTTCCCTTAAAATTGAGTGTGCAAGTGAACAATTGCAAGGATACACGTTCGCCTTTTGTACTGTATTAGCGTGCACAAGCATATATTCAGACACACAATAAATTTGGTCCAGAAGTATTCTGATTCCTACTTAAACAAAGAACACATACACACAGGCACCCTTTGGTATTATCGACCCTTGCAGCATGCCAGGCACAGACAGGTAATGGGGGTGAGAGTCCCCTCCGCAAAGGACTGCCACGAAACATTACTAAACGCAATTTTCTCTCTTCTTGTGAGGCCACATTTCCCCACACGACTGCTAACACTTTCTGTGCCAAAAGAGCCTCTAAAACAGGGTTGAGAGTGCATGGCTGAACCCAAGCAATGTGGCTGGGTCTATTCTTTGTCACTGGAGTCCAGTGAGGGATCCCCTGTATTAACCTTGCAACTAGGGTTTTCAGAAGAGCCTGCGTTGGCCACACAATGTCTGTAGCATCTCATTGTTTTCCTCAAGGGATTCCCTCAGGAAATGAAAACTTATTTTGGCCTGAGTTGAAGTACAACAGGAAAAAGGGAAGGCTGTGACAGAAGTACAAAAGCCAAAGCCATGGGCTGCAAGCACAGCCCCTTGCCCCTCGCTGAACGACCCTGTCGCTGGGCTGCCTCATCTCCGGACAGCTGCTCTCAACGGCCACCAGTTTTACAGCCAAGAAGGCAATCTGGTTACTTTCCTTATACATTGAAATAACCTGTGCAGCTCTCACACAGCTACTAAACGGTCCTAAAGACTTACATAAATCACCAGTATATTTCTTGAAAGATTCTCATGGTTGGAAGGCCAGATTAGATAAAACGCTATTTGGGCAAAAAGCAATATAATACTTCCTAGGCAGCATTCATATGAGTTAATGAGATGTAGTCATGTGCACAGTCTTATTTAGCTATAAGAAAAAACAGAACAATGATTTGAAATCCATGTGATAAAAACAGGCTCAGGGTCTTCCGAGCTAAGATTATCATCCCAATCTCTTTTATTTCCTATTTCTACCCTTTTGCTGTTAACAAAAGCCATAACTGACTCAGAATCTCTGTAGTGCTTTCTAGCTACCTGTCCAAAACACAGTCTAATTCACAATAAGGGATTAGGTCCTACCCCATAGAATAGCTGCTTTGAAAACACCAAATGCACCCATTTTGCAAAACCACTGGTCTACAAACTCATAAACTTCTACTTTCTCCTCAGTTTCCGAATAGACTAAGAATCCTTTGAATTTTCCTGTTTAATTCAGGAGCCCAATCCAAATAGGTTTCTGTACGCTGTAATCCATTTTCCGTTCTTTGCTCATGCACATTTTCTAAATGCTTGCATTTCAACTACTGTGGAGTGTATGGTCTTTTGACATCCTTACCTTCCACCTTTGTCCCTAAACTGTACATGGGTACTTTGTTTAACAGCTTTTTCACTCTGAAAGGTCATCACTGCCATTAAGCATTACTAAAAGCAATTTTCAATTGCCATGAGAGCCTTCATCTCCAATCCAGATGTAGAGCCGATTCATACACGTCTGGGGATTTAGTGGTCACCAGCTGGACATCTCATTAGTGGTCTGAATCAGATGTTGCAATTTGCTTCTGATTGGCAGGTGAGAGCTGTCCTTCTCATCATGTTCAACAAACCCTGTCACACCAAGGTATAACTCAAACAAAATGATACCCACCTAACTGAGGACGCTGGTCTTCTGTTTTAGGAACTGTTGAGGATGATGGCTGAGTAGCTGAAAATAGAAAAACCCATGTAGTTACTTTTCTAGTTTGGAAGATGGTCATCAAATCTGTGATAGATCACAGGCCTGGGAATCCTGCTGTTCACCACTCAATGATGGTCACAATAGGATTTAGCTTTATAAGACCATATGGTTATGGACCTGATGAAGCCTGAGTTCAAGGAAGGATGCGGCTGCCCCAGTGACTCCACCCAGTATTGCCTATACACAGCTAGCAGGCTTTCCAGCCCAAGCACAGGTAAAAATCCTCCAGAGCTGAATGTTGAAGTAGCTCCTATCAGTTCAGTTCAGAGTCTATCCAGGTTGCACCAGATGTGCATTAGGCCCACAGGTTAGACACCTACAGATGTTTTTTACCTTTTGACTGAGGACTGGGGTGGGTGTGACTCGTCCACGCGGATCTCCTGGCTTGCTCATAAGGCAAATCTGCAAAGGAGAAATACACTGATTCATGCAGATATGGCATAAAGTGTTTATGTCCATGAGGGGCACATTTCTAGGGAACCCACTGGAATGGAAAAATTACTGAAAGGACAGTCTTTGTAAAAACCTTTATTGTATTTATTGTCTCCAAAAATAATAGCACCACATTGCCCTCTGCATTCTTCTTTAGATGTGCCTATTCTTGTTAGATATATGAACTGCACCAAAGCAGCTGATACAAATACTCTATAAAGTCCATAATTTCCAAGGATCTCCAAGACCAATGATCCCTTTGGTCTCATTCCTCAATCCAGAACACCAAGGAATGTCACACGCTGCACATCATGGACAATTTATGCTCCTCTTGGAGGAAAAGTCCCCCAAGAGGTCAGAGCTCAGTTTAAGCATAGACTGCGTACCATTCCCTCCCAATCTCAGCATATAACAATATTTTAAGACTTTAGCTGATTTAATGTGCCATTCTTTGTTAGTCTGTTGCTGTTACCCCTTGAGATTGATCAAATCTTATAGCCTGAGTTTGAGAGTTCCCTTTTCTGCCACCTGGGAATAGGCAGAGATATGTGAAATAATAAAGTCTTGGTTTTGTCTGTTGGAGGTTCCTCTAAACCATTGTTGTATGTTTGTGTTTGCACCAGCTCTCATTGACATCATGTAGTTTGTTATGCCCTCCCTGTGATATTATTCCTCATGTTTGCAAGTGCTCTCTTCCTCAGATGAACCCTCTGGTCTCACTCTCATCATTCAGAAGCCACACTTTTGGGATAATTGATTGCTGCACTTTGCCAATCATCTCACTTGTTTCTCTTCTACTAGCCATTTCAAATTATTAATAATTCTTCTTCCTTCATTTTCCCTTCCACTCCCCATTACCCTCACAGATCTTTAGAAACATAACATGTGAAAACAGTGAACATACTTAAATGTTAAACATATATATGTATACGTATTTCTTCCAAGAAGTGGAAAGCTTTTTTCCTGCTTCATCTACTTAAATAGTCCTTTCTGCTTCTTGGGACAAGCTCCTTAACTTTACGTATCTGAATTTTTGTTTGCCTTTTCTTTCATTTACTCATTACTTCTATTTCGTTTACATGCTTTAGCATATAAAAATGAAGAAACTAAACCATAAAAGCTTTCTTCATAAAGTATATGTTGTGAATTCCAATGTTTGGTTTACCCTTTGAAATCTTTTGCAGTTGCCTGTGCTTTTCTATGGCTGACTTTAACACATTAACTAAAATTGCTGCCAAAATCCAAGACTTATGTAGCCTGCTCAGGATCTCAGGAAGGTAGCAGTACGCACCTGGTAGAACTAAGCTGGTGCAGATGATTTGATTCTTAACAGTGCTTGTGCTTTATTTTAGAAATGATGATTGGAAATGAAACCAGTTAAGAAGTAAAGAAACAGTCACAGACTGGCTCTGTGCAAAACAGATGTATCTCTGCCCATTTCCAAGCACTATGAGCAGACGTATCAAATGGAAATAAAGCGTAATGTGAAATTTGCAACCAAATTGCCTTTAATTTATTTAGTCTGTTTGGCTTGAGGAGCAGACTGGCACTACCAGTACTGTCGTCTCCCGGAATCTTACACCTCAAAAACTTTGCCTTTGCTGAGATAGGCAATTTATCTTTGTATTACATTTGAATAACTAGTGTGTTTTTATCCCTGATTTCTTGAGAACTATTCCACAATCTCCTCTCCTCTCCTTCTGCCTCCTATTTGTGGGTCTGCAAATTATTAGACATCTGTACACTGATAGGGCTGTGTGCTTCTACTTGGTGGCACTTCCAGCCTTGAAATATATTTGGTACAAATTTAGTACTGTGAGAAAACTGTTTTGCCTTCTAACTCAACACATCATAAGATGGTTTTCTGACTACGCCCTCTCCATTAAACGAAAAATCCAGTTATCAGCCTTTCTTGAAATAGCGCAGAATTCCAACTTCATTCTTAGTTCAGTATTGTGCCTTGATAAACATGTTGCTATCCTAGATAAGCAGATCTGTTCTTATTCATACGATATTAGTACAGCATGTCCTTATCTTGGATAGATCTTTGATGGCAATGCTCCTGTTGGATGAGACATGTAGACAAACCCATATTAGGTCCTCCTGAGCTCCTGATAGCTTTATTGTATTACTTTCAGCTTGCTGAAACCTCATGTTCTGTTGTACAGGTGACTTTGTCAGTGCAGTTCATTACAAGCCCTGCTCATTTCCTATTTTCTATTGTAGCACCTTAACAATGGCAATGCTTAATTACTTTCTCCAGAATTGCATCCCGGGATTTGGCTAATTCCCATTTAAAATTATTTACTCCATGCCCTCTCATTTTTGACCTTTTTCATGTCATCAAGGGGTTGTCCCCAGGGTCTGGTATTGCTCTCACATGGAAAAGCTTCTTTGCAGTCTAGTTGAAATGTGACATTTAACTAAAAGAAAAGCCATAGAAGAAACCAACGAAATAGTTTATTGAGAGAAAACTGAATTTCTGAAAAAAAAAAAAAAAAAATTCTTTCTGACTGAAAATTCTGATTTTAATGTTTGTCAACTTTCAATTGTAAAAGATAAAATAATATTTTCAAAATCACATGATCGTTCGTTATAGGAAATGTTTAGTTAGGACACACCAGTTTGCACAGAAGAATAGAGACACCCCATATCCAAACTGCAACTCCCACAAGGAATTGTGTCAACACAGGAAGATGCTTTTGATGTTGTCATAAAGCATTTTGTTTTGTGTCACTGTAAACATGATTTGGGTAAAAATGCCGAAATGAAGGACTCCCCCACGTCTGATATGTGCGTTTTTTTAGAACTTTTTACTTCAGAGAAAACTAGTATTTTATTTTTCCATCACATGTCAGAATGAAACAAATATTGAAATCATAGAATTTCTCATGATATAAAAAAATCCAGGTTTTGCTCAAGTCCAGTGGAAACATACCCATAAATAGTATTCTTTCACAGCACACTCATTCTAGCCTTTGCCTGAAATCCTCTCAGTTGGCATGGTTATTTTCTGCAGGACACCTGGGTCCCTCTGGTCTTATGTTACATGTTCATTTTTGTTGGAAACTACTGAGAGCTTCAGGCATCCAGTTTTACATTGCATAGTTGGTAATTGTTTCTGTAGCTATGCTTCGTCTTCTCATCTATATTCATGTCCAGATTTCTCCATGCCATTCAAAGTTCCTGGGTGCTACTATAACCCTTTGACCATGAGGGCCACAGTCTGCTCTAATGTTTCATGAAAATGTCCAACTTTTTTTTTAAATATATTTTCTTCTAATACTAAGACTAAGTAGGTACTCTGTGACACTCTTTATTTTGATAATTATATCAGGTTTCCTCATCCCCAGACCCTGAGGTGAACAATTTCAAACTTTTATATCCTTCAACATGCTTGAAAGATTTTCCATATTCCCATGGCTTGCTCTAAGTGCCTTCTAATTCTGCAAATAGCCTTTTTGATAAGGGATGATTCACGCAGCTTTCCGTACAAGGCCATACTGCTGATTTATTTAACGGCACAGCCAGATTTCCCATATGATCCTCCGCTGTGTTTCTTCATTTGCTTACTTTTTTTTTCACATCGGCTAACAACTAGAGCAGTGCTCTAGTTCACACTTCATTGTGCCATAAATAAAGATGCCTATGTTAAGTTCTTCTTTTATGAGTGAAGAGGGTTAGTTTGAAATCAGTAAGATATGCAAATAACTTGTGTCTTTATCAACTTGTATTTTCAGCTGTTAACATATTCCCAGTTTGATGATCTCTAATGAGGCTCTGGGCGCCTGTACAGGAATCCATTAGAGTAATCTCTGCTTTTAAGTAATGACAAAATCATATGTCATTTCTAAGTTTTATACCAAATTTTATTGTGTCCTTTTTCCAATTACTAATAATTACAGATCATGGTAGAGAATGCTAAAGCACTCATGACTTAAGATGCCCATTACTTAGTCTTTGTAACAGGTTAATCAGCCAGTTCTTGATCTGTTAAAATATTTTGTTTCTTACGATATACTGATTTAACTTTCATTGTAAATAGTTGTGGGGCACTTTGGTAAATGTCTTATGAAAGCCAAATGCGTGCATTGGATGATGGGTTTCCTTTCTATTCACTATGGTGTTGCTATAGACAAATAATTCTAGCAGAAGAGTTTGTTTTCCTAGAAACTGAGTAGGGTGGATTTGATCATGTAATGGTCTGGTACCTGTTTCCCTATTTATCTTTTTAAATTATCAATTAACAAATCTGCAGACATGCACATATACATGTATACAAGTGTATATAAAAGTTACTTGTGTATAGTCTCATGGATTATACCCTAGAGCATTGATAAAAGATAAAATATTTGCTATCCAAAACCCCCTCTGGTTTTGATGAGAGAATGTATTTTTTCACAAGAGTTCAGTCAATTTAAGTGTATGTCCCTTCAGAACACTTGGATGTATGCCTCTGGCTCAGTAATGAATTTCCTTTAAATGTATTTTGCTACAACTCCTCTTGATGTCTCACAGTACTTTGCACTTATTATTGGAAAAGCAAATGTCCAGATTAGGTATTTTCCCAGCATCTTTAGCGGTGAAGGGTGATGTAAAGAAAATTTTTAGCTTCACAGCAATGTTCTCATCTTCTTTAATTACTCCCTTTAGCCTTTCACAAACCAGCACACCCACAATACTTTCATGGGTTTCAAACTTTTGAGCAATAAGAACTTTCTTATGTTTTGATTTTACTTATTTAGTCCCTTCAACTCACAATCAGACATTGTAGAATTTATTTGCCACAAACATAGACAGTAGATAGCAGGAGAAATGTGAATCCTGCATTTTTAGAGTACTTTTTCCCAATATACTTCAAATAGCATTATAAAAGAGGGTATTCTTGCCCCATTTTACAGACAGAGAGCTGAAGCACATTGAAAAGTGGCTGCACTGGGACAAAGCAACAGAACCAGTGAATGCAGCTCTGGTCTTCTGATTTTCTGGTGCTTTAAAAACTAGATAGCATTGCTTCAAAGACAGAGATATGTGGAAGAAACAGAAATTAAACTGCTCTGTTTAACCATCTCACTCTACACAACGATATATGCACACACATATATAAAAAAAGCATACGTATAGAATGTGTGTGTGTATACAAAATATAGCCTAATATTTATGAAAAGAGAGTTGAAGGAGAAAAAGAGCAAGATACTTCAAGAGATGAAATGAGTAAGATCACAGCATACAAAAGGTGGTCATTGTTCATACCTGGCCTGGTTGTAATTCTTTGTGTTGCTTCTGGATAAACTGATGTATTTGGAAAAATAAAAGTGGCACCTCCTAAAGAGAAAGAAGAAGACATAACACCTAAAGATTCATTTTCACAGTCCCTAAGTCCACTGATACTTCCCCTCCTGTAGTGTGTCTGAGTGAAGACTACGAATAATTACTTTCTATCTTAGGACTGTTATAAATAAACGTTAATTCTGATAGCCTTTGCATCTGTGTAAATCCATTCCAATTACTGGATAAAAGTCTGTGCAAAATCTGTGTCAAGAGAGGAGAGACAGGCTCAGGAAATCCCTTCTACGTTCCCCACAATCACCTCCACCTGGGTAGGTGGTTTCGTATCTTCTGAAATAAAACTTATTTGCCTTCTCTTCATTAGTGCACGTGCTTTCCAAACAGGTTCCTATTTTCAACAGAGTCTGAAGGCTTGGGCCAAAGCCTGTTGGTGTCTGTGGGAATCTTCTCACAGACTTTGGTTGGCTTTGGGTCAGACCCTCAGAAACCTCATTCTGTTGAAAAAATTGAAAATATTGAGTTTGATATAGAAAATGGTATCTCACTTATCTCAGGCATTGAAGTTGCTCTAATTACATCAACAGACTTCTAATGACCATCTCTAGGAACATGAAAAGGGTCACAAGGATTTGTGCAACTACTGCTGACTTCAAGAAGAACTTGTTTCTAACTTTTTTGGGGTCCTTTGAAAATCCCACTCCAAAGTTCTTATGCCACCAGAACAACTAATTTTCCTTATGCTGATTATCAGCATGATATTATTCACACTCCCAATGACAGAAATGCAGACAATCTTATTTTGGTGAAATGAATTTCAAAATATCATTGTCAGTGCACACATATAGAAAAAGATAACACACAGAACTGCTGAACAACACTTGGATAACTGTATGTGGAAACTGCTTGGCAAATTAGAATCTGGAAAGCCAGAGATGGAAAAGACCATCGAGTCCATCTATTTTTAAAAAGGGCTTAAGGCTTATTCCAAACCCCATCAAAGTCAATGGAAATTTTTTTTTTGTTGCTTTTGGTGGGGTCTGCAGCAGGCCTACAGCCCACAGCAGGACTTTATGTCAAGTGGCAAACATCTAAACTCAGGGAGAACTCTAATCTAGTTAATTTTGCTAGAAAACTCACTGCTATTTACCACAGTGAAAAACTAAATGAAATGTGAAAAAGGCATCGCAATCCAAGGTTTTATTTTCTTTTTCTTTTGCATTATCCTTTGTATTATCTTTTTCATTTCTCATAAAGAATTGTTATTTCTGGTCACTGTAGGCAACTAATACCCTCAGGCATGATCATGCAACGTTCCAAAAATCTTTAATCAGTATGTATACCATACGATATGTACAATTCCATGCCATCCTGTGTTGCACAACTGCTAGAGCAAGGTAAAATTTATTCTCAATTATTTTAATAATTATTTTAAGTCACATCCTGAAAGACAGATGCTTTTGAGGCATGTATTGTAGTGTTCACCTACCTACACTCAATACTTTTCTGGGCCAAATTAACAGAAGGGTGAATACTAACAAAAATCATTTTACATTCAGATCAGACTTAGTGGAAATTACAACATCAAACTTAGTGAAGTTTCCAGCTCAAGTCCTATATAGCTGACAAATGAGATGAGCCAACTGCCTAAACAGCAATTTTATTGAATTATATGACATATACTGCATGGGAGGGCAGACAGTCCCCATTCACCAGAGCCCAAAGCACTTAGGCAAGTGCTGAAGCACTTCTGAGCTCCACCAGCCTTCAAGGGATCCATGGAGTAGATCTGACAGTACAGTGAGACAGAACGAGAAAAAAAAGTCCTCAGAGATAAAGGCCCCGAGCCTGCAGTTTACCATGTGTCAGGGAACCCATTATCTTGTAGGACACAAGAAATTACCAATAAGGAGACCATTTTTGCACCATTTGGCCCTAAGTGATCTCACCTTTTTTCTGTGTGTCTGTCCATAAAACTCACACACACAGCAAGGTGAGGATACGCTTGTCTCCCTCCTGATTTACCATTTCCATTTTTAGCAAGCAACCCATAAAAAGGAATCCTGTGCTTTTGGAAGATGACCTCTAGCAATGGGAGCAGTGCCAGCATTACCTGTGTTTCTAGCATGCATTAACCGTGGAGAGTTTTGTAAGGCCTTATCAACATCATCTGAAGTCAAATGTGGAAGAGGAGCTACAAAACAAAACAAAAAGCAACACCAAAATGAAAAAAAAAATTGTGAATTATCTTTTTAAACCATATTTTCCCCTGACAGGATTGTTTGAATGCAACTCTACCAACAGTCAGTTTCAGTCTGCAGTTTGGAGGGAGGTGTGTGTGCTACAGCTTAAACTAGGGCATTCATTTATTCAACATTATGAATGCGTAGTATTTCTGACTGATTATTGACAGTGTGCGTGTGGAGAAGACTGCACCGCACTGGTGTTGCAATGCTTGTTGCTTTTTTTCTTAAAAACCATGTTCACTTTAACTTCTTTAAACTGAGGCAAACCTGCAAAATTTCCTCAAGCTTAGATGAAAGCCCTCAAGCCAGGAATTCACTAGTCCCTGCTTTTGCTTTGAAATGCTAGCCAGGTACTACAAGTAATTTGCATTTGGACTTCAGGGACTGTTCCTTTTTTCCATGAATTTACAGAACTTTTATTCAATTCAGAGAAATCTTATTCAGAGTAGAGCAAACTGCTGTCAGTCCTTAGAATCATGCCTGGAATTTGCTTTATGAATCAATGTTTGCACTCTTGTTTAGCATTCTCATCATTAAAATAGAAAAAAATGAGTATGTGACCAGAAAAAACATTAGCACTGAATCCCATATGATTTTCTTCCTACAGTATGCTGATGAATATGCTGGGTTTCAATTTCATTCTTATCTGAGATGGACACGTAGAAATATTCCCTTTTTTCTTTGATGAACATGAGTGAAAACCAATTGAAATTAATGGAAATCTTTCCACCAAACTCAAGAGGCTTTGGATCAGGCTCCCTACTATGTTCTTAGGAACAGCAACATTTGCAACAGACATTTGAAAACCCAGCTGAGTGTATCCACACCATTAAATCTAAGGCTGATATCAACCACACATTGATTGTAGCCACTACCATAATGACAGAAAACTAGCTTACTCTCTCTGAGGTAGTGTAGGTGTGACAGGAGGATATCTGCGTTATAGCTTGGGGTAAGTCTCTGGAAGTCGTCTTTGGTCATTTTACACAGCTCCTTCCCATCGATGTTCTGGAACAACAAGATATCCACATCCGGGAGACCGTACTCCTTTACTGCCCATTCCAGCCACTGGCGTACATGGTCTGTGCTCCATAACGTAGGATCTGGTGGTATCACAAAGCATAAAATTAGGCAGAGAGGGGAGAGTGCTGATGTGCTGGACTGGTACAAAATAAATGCAGACCACAGTCAAACTGCAGAGACCTTGATCCCCTGTTTACTGACTGCTGGAGATACATGAAGAATTAATTTGTCCTGTTGAGTGCAAAGGAGAATAACTGTCTATGAAAAACTACTAGGGAAGAGCTGTGAGTCTGAGCTCCTTCTCCCATTTAGTTGTTTTGTGTTGTTATTTTTATGCACTATTATCCACAGATTAACATAGGCTCCTGTCCTCACGCAGAGAATACTCTTTAGAAAAGTATTTAAGAGAGCACACCAACAGCACTGCCTCTTGCATCTGAACAATTTTCGAAGCTCTCTGTTGAATTTGTATCTCTGTTCAATTGAAATTTCCACTCAAGTCTGAAGTAGCATTTCTTGGGCATAGGCTAAATAAGCACTCACAGATTTGGCTAGTTATTTCATAAACTGGAGTGGGTCTTATTAAAATATTCTGCATTTCCTTTCCTAGACTGCTGTGTTTTACTGGTGTACATTGCTACACCTGCGTGGGTTTTTACTTACTATCTGAAGTATCAGCAAAACCATCTGAGGAAAAAAATAAGAACTAGTGCAGATTTTTAGCAAAACATAAGGTCAAATACCTTGTGTTTTTGAATGAATCCTTGATTTTAACTGAAATGTCTTTTTTGCCTCTAAACTCCCCCTTTTCTATTTCTCTTGCATTCTACTTTTCCCTGTTCTTGAGATATAGTAAGCACTGTCCCTAATGACCTGTAATGCACCTCCCCATAATGGAAGACAGCTCCTACTATGAAGAATTTGTACTTTTTGAAGAGAAAATAATAAAACTAAGGAGAAACAAACTCCTTGAGAGTTTATGCCTTCCACCCGAAACAATTCAGCAATAACCTGAAGACTGAGAATGGAGCACACAGAGGTCAAATGGCTGTACTCTGTCACATACAAGTCTGTGGAAGGGCTAGGACTTGAGTGACAGTCTAAATAGCTTTTCTGTGGCTTAATTCAGTGCCATCCCCTCTCTTTTGACTGTTGTTCAGTATGGTTTGAAAGAGGTGGGGACTTCTTTCCGTGGGCTAGGAACTATTCAGTCTGTCATGCTGTTGCTCACTCCCAATCCTTCACCCACTAGTGCATCCCCTTTTCTGATGTTTCTTTTGGCATTTTAAGCCCTTGAAAGTCAGAATATTTAATTCTATGGAGCTTCAGAGAGTTTCTCTATTCACCTAAGTGCACCAAAAAACACTTAAAAGAACTCCTCCTTCTGGTATGAAACACATAGCAACCTACAGAGATGCAAATCCGGTTGGTAAACCTAGTGTCTGGATGAGATAGTCCACATCTATAGCAGAGAAGTCCAACAACTACATTCAGTTTTGTTTGAAGTAAACAACCAAATACCAGGAAGTTTACCAAAACATTTTGATTACGCCCGTAACTTTTAAATGCTTCTAATCTATGATAACGAGAAATTTACCACAGCTGGAACTGTGAATTTTGCTTTTTTTTATTGCCACATGAGCTGCACATCTGCACTTGGGTCACAACAACCTCACACAATGCTACAGGCTTGAGGAAGAGTGGCTGGAAAGCAGCCTGGTGGAAAAGGACCTGGCCGTGTTGGTTGACAGATAGCTGAATATGACGCAGCAGTGTGCCCACATGGCCAAGAAGGCCATTAGCATCCTGGCTTGTATCAGGAATAGTGTGGCCAGCAGGCCTAAAGAAGTGATTGTCTCCCTGTACTCGGCACTGGTGAGGTCACACCGCGAATCCTGTGTTCAATTTTTCTCACCCCCCCGAAGAAAGACATTGAGGTACTGGAGCGTGTCCAAGAAGAGCAACAAAGCTGGTGAGGGGTCTGGAGCACAAGTCTTAGGAGGAGCGGCTGAGGGAACCGGAGTGGGTTAGTTTGGAGAAAAGGAGGCTCAGGGGAGACCTTATCACTCCCTACAGCTACCTGAAAGGAGGCTGTAGAGAGGTGTTACTTGGCTCCCACGTAACAAGCGATAGGACAAGAGGAAATGGATTCAGGTTGCACCATGGGAGGTTTAGATTGGATATAAGGAAAAATGTCTTCACCGAAAGGGTTGTCAAGTATTGGAATGGGCTGCCCAGGGAAGTGGTTGAACCACTATCCCTGGAATTATTTAAAAGATGTGTAGATGTGGTGCTTAGGGACATGGTTTAGTGGTGGACTTGGCAGTATGGATGGACTTGATGATGTTAAAGGTCTTTTCCAACCTAAACAGTTCTATGATTCTAACTGATTTTCACCCATACATCTCTTCTAGGGACCTTAAAATAGCACGGCTGTGACTGTGACAATCCTGTTCCTTGAATGTCGCTCAAATCCACCTCAAAATACACCTCCAGGAATACACTGAGAAAAAAAATCTTTCTGAGCTAACCATGCTAAGGGTTACTAGAAGACTGAAAAAAGTGCCAACCACCAAGAAGACAAATGTTTTAGAAGAACATTCAAATGCCATGAATTTCAGTGTGGTCTGCTTCCAGTTAGGCAGGACACTTCATTATTCAGTGCATCACTCTTCTGTGCTTCAGAATAGAACTGTCAATACCATTGCAGAGGATACTGCAACATATTTGTCCACACGTGTCTTGACAAATAACTGAAATAATCACAGCTTGCAAAATTGGCCACAGTTAGTACTCTTGCATGTCTTAGCAACTGAAAAACTGTAAGAATATTAAGCAACACAGCAGCAGCACAAATGTTTCAGACAGGCACATCTCTGCTGGAGAGGAACTAGCAGCAAAACATTCTCTTCTGTTTGCAGGTTTCAGGTGTTGTGTCTATGCTGTGTATATCCAGTGGTTTATGAACACCCACGTATGCCACGATGGTCTTTGACTTCAGAAATAAGCATGCTAATTATTTTGCAAACTAAGGCAACAAACCTTCCAGCAGAGGTTGTTTGGACGACAAAGCAAACAGGAGTGAATACCTTCTTGTTCAATCAACTGCTGAATCCCACAACCAAGCTTGCCAAGACTAACCAAGAATTTCTCAATTCCCTTATATTGCAGTGGAGTTGTCAGCTTGCTTATTAAAATGTTTTACACTGCCCAAACGCAGGGGATAACCTAGATAAATGCTTTTCACGCACTGTTTTATTTCACAGAAGCTATTCTGTTTTTAGAATGCTGAGGGCCAGACTGTATTTGGTATTTGCAGGGACATCGTGTGGTACAGTGATCCTTTCTCCCTCCCACACACCCTGCACCCAGTTAGTCCATGGTGTTAGGAAATGGAAGTGGCTCTTCATTTTTTCCCACTTTAGGGTGAAATACTTCAAAAGGACCTAGAGAAGTCATGTAAGATCTGAGTGCCTGTAATCAGCCAGTTCTGCTGCTGAAATGGGAAGAACAGGTTGAGGAGATGGCTTCACTAGGATATTTCTCAGCTCATTCTCTTAATAACCCTGGGAAATTGCTGCTCTTTTCTTCCTGATCACCCAGATCATATTGCCACTTTTCTCCACATTTTCTCAAATAATGTTAGTAAACTTAGGGGAAATACATTTTTTGCTTGAAATTTTTGTGTAGAAGGTCTAACCTGCTGGCACAATGACTCTTCGTTCATTGGTAGTCATATTTGGTGGTGGAACATGCTTCTCTTCCATGTAGTTTCCATAGTTCATCCCAACATTTTCTGAGCCGCTAACCATTTTCCCTCCTTTTGCCACGCTGCAGTCATCAGGAGAATTCCTAGACAGAGAAGAGAAGTGTGCTTCTATTATTATTCCAGTCCCTACTAATATCCTCAGCAAAGAATCACACTGAATGAAATGGAAAAAATGAAACTCAAGCACCAGGGTTGGGCTGTCACTGGAAAACTCAGTACCTACCACCCAATGACTCTCTTCAGTTGCCTAAGAAAAAATGACCAGCCTCAATGGACCACATATTTATTTCTATTTTCAAAGGATCAGGCTCTTACATGTCTCCAAACATATAAACACTAATGATTTATTTCCAGAGACCCAGCTAAAATGGAGGCTTGTTCATGAGCTTGCTGAGTCTGATGGCTGCAAGTACCTGTACTTCTCTCTCCAAACACCTCACAGACAACTCCGCAAACTTAGAGATGCATTTAATGTAAATCTTCTCAGGGAAAACTACTATTTGTTGTCATTGTCCAAGCATTGGACAAGGCTTGGACAACTTCCCATCTCCACTGCTGTCATTGTTTCATGTGGGCCATGCTCAGTTTCACTTTATGTCATGCAGTGTAGACACACTTCTACGTATGGCTTACAGAAAACGAACGTTTGCCAAAGCTGTGATTCAAAATACCACACGCATGACTGGAAAAACCTTTCAGCTCCTGACTAGCACAGTCTCCATGGTACTGTAGTCAAGAAATGGAAATCTGCAGAGGATCTGCAACCAGACACCTCTTTAATTTTGGCTTTGCTTTCTGAATAGAGTCTTTAGGTTTAACATCCCACAGGGGGTTCCCTAATGGCACTTTAATTGCATCACAGTTTTCTTTCTGGCAGACACAGACATATTTGTCCCTTAATTTAATGTCTACAACGTGTTTCATCAGAGAGAGAAAAATTGTTACAAAAATCAAAATAAAGAACAGAGCCATAGGGAATACCTTTAAATGTAAGAAGGCTGTTTGGCAAGGGAAGGAGGGTGTTAGTTGGGTTTTGGTTTCTTCAGTGATACTATATTACTAACAAGCTTTCTTTCAGTCCTGCCATTTAACTCCTGAAACTCTACTATGGTCTTACTAAACAAGCAGCAATCAGGTTGTGATGCTTCATTTTGGTTCCCTACAAACCAACTAATGTAATGTACAGTCCAGAGAACCAAGAGATGCTGCGAGACCAAGGCTCCTGGAAGCATGTTTCAAGATCTGCTCCCTGCCTCCCAAAACGTGTTTTACCCAGATCCTCTTGCTCTCCCCAGCTCAGAAATCCCAGCTCGTGCTGCCAGTGTTGGGCAGCAATGTCACTGTAAGCCCACCAGTGGCCAGAATACAGGTGTTTTCCCAGAAGAGTGTTGCTATTGTTATATATAATGCAGTTATAGTTCTCACATGTGTGTTCTAAAAAATAACTAGCCCTTGGAAAGCTGAAAAGATTTAGTATACATCTTAAATACTGAAAGTACATTTTAAGTATATCAGTTTTTTCCTATGCAGTGTTACTTCTAATTTTACCATGTTGTGTTAATGTATATATTTAAAAAAAATAACTGCTGATGGCTTTCAGTTTAAAAATAAAGGGTATCACAGAAACCATTCAATGGGTACTGTCATCCTCTTTAGCAGAAGGAACAGGGCCCTGAATGTTGCCTGGGAAATGTTGGCTTCACATACCTTTTTCAGGTATAAAATATCTTGGGTGCCGCATGACATATTACATATGAAATCTGCCTTGTGTAAAGGTCCTACAACTGCTTTGTCAGCCACAGGACTGATTAATAACCACAAGGGAAGATACAGTCAGCACATGGTCTTGCCTGCCATTGACTGGCAGTGAATTTAGCCTTTCCTCTCAGAACCAGAATACTCGGGCATTATTCTCTCAGGTTTAACTTTTCTATCGCACTACATACCTCTAAATATAATCCTGGGATGCAGCTTATTTCTGTCTAAACAGAGCTAAGCAAAACAAAGTAACTTTTTCTTTCAGACGTAAACATGTTGAAAAAGAGCTCTTGTGATGATTGCTTGTGACTAAAATGTTGGCTTTTTCTGCTTACCTTTAACAAATACAAACGGCATATATGCATAAGTTAGTCTGGATACTAAACAAGGTATATTTGGAAACATCATCCAACTCCCGCTTTCATACCTGTGCAGATGCCCACCCCCACTCCCAAGGTCAGTTATGTTACACAGACAAAAAAAAGAACCATTTGGCCCATTCACTCCCTTTTTAGGGATGTTTTTGGGAAACAGAGAGTTAGCAGCATCCTTTGGCCTAACGGGCACAGTTGCTTCATTTTGTTTTTCTGTGAAAAGGAACTTGGGATATAGGGACATCAAAGTCTTGCTGCTGACATGAAGTATCACATCAGTATTAGCCTACACCACTTCTATGGGCAATTGTGCATTAAAAACACTCTTGTAAACACTGAACAGTAAATGATGTGAAAGATCCAGTAGTAGCACACAGCTTTTGGCAATCTGACAGGGCTTCTGAGCTGGTTTTCTGATTCGAATATAAACAGACGGGGGTGGGGAAGAAGATCATAAATAAGTCATAACTTTTCATTAAAATGCAGAAGCAGATGGTTAAGGGTTTTGTCCCGTTAGCTTACTGGGTGGACAAGCAAAACCCCAGTTCAGCAAATCTTCTAAGATCATGCGTAACTTCAAGCATGTAAGCAGCTGCATGGGAGCTAAAAGGACTACTCAGGTACTTCAAATTGAGCGTGTGCTTGTGCATACGACTGAACCATTCAAATGGCTGTAATGGACTTCTACGGTATAGAAAGCAAAACTGAAAATGCAAGCAGACACTAGAAAATGGTATTTTTAGTGCCCAGAACAACAAGAGAGTGATTGTCTGCAAAGGCTTTTTTTAGGACGTTCTGTGAGTCTGCTTTATTTCTGAACCACCGGGGGAGCAGGGGCAGTGGAAAAGCAGATTTCAGAAAGCGTGCCCAGTGTAAAGGGTGCAGCTTTGCAATGATTCATCCTAAGCTCCAGGTCTGAAATGAAACATGATATGTTTTTCTTCACAGCTGCATGTTATTTTTACCCTTTGTAAATATACTGTGTTACACCTGGAATTTACAAAAAAAAAAAAAAAAAAAAAAGTGGAAAGACCACAATCGTGCTACCCAAGGGCACTTTGTCCAGTCCTGAGCTGATTCATCTCTTATAGCTGATAAATGTCTATTGAAGAAAGTATTTTCTCCATGGGTCCTTGGACCTGGAAGCCTTGCCTTTATTCAAGGTTACTTAGAATTGAGCTTATTTGACAGTTAAATTTAGCGCCCACTCCTACTGAAGCCCATTGGAGTTTTGCCAACTATTGACTCTGATGAAAGCAGATGTAAGTTCATAAATAAGTGTATGAAACACATTTTTTCCTCTTCACTATGCTACTATTTTCCCCATGTGACATAAAACACCTGTGTTGTGTTAAAATGCAAGGTGTCAGAGAAACACAGATTAGAAATCAGCAAAACTTTACATGATCTCTGTGACATTCCTGTAATATAAACCCTTCTAATATTTCAGAGGGAAATAAATGAGAAAAAATGTATTCTTGAAATATCTACATATCTTTATAAGTTTATTTAATATCCACAGCTTGGATAACTTCCTTACAGAGGCTACTTAGAGAAAAGGGGTCTCAGGAGACAGGTATAAGGATCTTTTTGAAAAGTTTTCCATGCATGGTCCCCATCCAGCCCATGGTTGGTCAGGTCAGAAGACACGCTGAGCTACCAGGAACTTTTCTTCTGTGAGGCTCTGGCGAACAAACCATGACACTGGCCTACAGGATACAGATTCCCCTCCTCTCCTCTCCTCTCCTCTCCTCTCCTCTCCTCTCCTCTCCTCTCCGCTCCTCTCTCCTCTCTTCTCCCATTTTGTAATGCCAGCGATCTGAGAAAAAGGGGAATGGCCTTATGTACAAGAGGGAGAGTTCTGCAAAGCCAGGTCGCTCAGGTAAATTGGGTGAACGTATGTAACTTTATATTTAGCCAAAATGGCATCATGTAAAGGTCAGCTCATACAGAGTGTATTGCAAAGCATGCTCAGGCTCACCTCCATTCACTGCAACTACTCAAGTTCTAGTGGATCTTGGTCAGTGCTTCCCCGCACCAAAGTGGTTTGTCACTAAAAATGTGGCCCATGAAGAAAAAAACAAAACTTCCCTGAGATTTCTTACTTTGAGGTACACTGCCGTTTCTTAAAGCACACCTGACATCCTTTAGTCCACATTGTCAGTTCAAAGGGTTACACAGCTGCAGCCCTAAACTCCCTTCCCTGCCCCTCTCTATACTCTCTTCATGAATCAGTGAGGTTCACATCTGCTGAGGCCTGCCACAGCAGTGACATGCAAAGAGGGGACCTGCGGATCCCCCTTTGGGTTCCCCTTTGGCAGCAATCACTGGGGACAGCCCGACCCTCCCTGGTGAGAAGCAGCCGGTGCTCCCCAGCCGCCGGAGCAGGAGTGTGGCTGCACCAGCAGCTTTGCAGAGCCCCAGGGGCTGCTTCCCTGGCACCAACGCTGATCCCCATGGGTGCTAAGTGAGACTCTGAAAAACACTTTCTTTCAGTGGTGACATCAGAAGCCCCAACACTTGCTTTGACGGAGCTCAGTTTCCACCACACACACTCATCATCCAGCACCACAGCTGGATGCATCTGCCCGGCTTCTTCTGTGTGTACACCAGGCCAAGCCCTGCCAGCGCACCAAGCCCTCTGCTCCTGTGCAGGCACCTGCCCTTAAATCTGCTGCATGAGCACCACCACGCTTAACCTGCGGAAAGGAAAACAGAGGTTCTATTTTCCCTTCCAAGGCTTCTTGTGAAAGCAGCGCAAAATTCCCTGTAGAGGACTCCAGCATTAAAATGCCAGAAAAAGCATGTAGGTTGAAATATCCCAGGGGTGCTCACACAGCGTCTCGCACAACTGCTTAGTGAACTGGGCTGGGGAGCCGCTTCCCCAGCAAGTACGCAAATAAGTAAATAAATGGGTGGGTGGGTACGTAACTCAGTGCTCAGTTATAACC